CTACTCCTTCAGCAAAGCTGTTTTCAAATCCCAGAGGAATCTGAGAACGTAAAAGCCAGATGCAGTTACCCTTCCAAGAACACCTCAGACATGTTCAATGGGATTTTGTTCTAGAGTTCTGGCTAGTCGATAAATTCGGTTTCTAGAATTCGAACCTAGGGCTCTATCATCTAGTCTTTTTGCAAGAGAACCTGCTGTTCTCCTCTCACTCAGTTCTGTACTCAACAGGTTACAATTAGCATGGTACTGGCAGAGAATATCGATTTTGGTCTAAACATCGGTGGGCGCCATTCTCTTCACAGATGAGTCCCAGTTCAGCCTAATCACTTATCTTCAAAGTATCTTTATCTAAAAACAACCAGAGGGACCTGCTACCTGTCATCCAGCGTCCTAGGCAAAGAAGATTTTGATAGCTTCGGTAGATTTTGATATCATGGATGGGTCCTCAGGTCTTTATTATAGGCTCTATGACTTATATATATATATATGCGAGATATAAGGAAGAGATCTTAGAACTCCTTGTTCGAGTATAATCCATACATATGACCGTCATGGGGTTTCGCTAAAAAAGCCCAAATTTCCCAAAATTCTCGTGAAGAAAAAGAATTTTCTTGATTTTTAATTGAATTCCAAAATGCCTTTGCACCTGGATTTATGCACTTAATTGGATAATTGTATTAATATATTGTCTTAATTGTTTGCGCCTATTTCAAGATGCACCTACATATACTTTTTTAATTATTTGCGCCTATTTCAAGGCGCACCTTTATATACTTTCTTAATGGCGTCATAAAAATATTCTAGACCGTATATATACAAACTTAACTTTTCGAAGGATAGAGCCCACCTGATGCATTTTTAAGACCGCTAACGTTCGCTCACATGCTCACATGCTGGATAATTTCTTAGAAAGTAGTTTTACCGGATGGTTGATCGGCAAGATCTCCAGACCTAAATCTCATAGAACATGTGAGACCCTGTTGAAAGGGCAACTGCAACCTGCATTTCCTCTTCAGAAACCTCAAGGACTTGAAAATAACGTTGTTGTAGGAGCGGGAACGACTGCCATAGGGCGTCATAAACTACCTCATTTCCAGTATGAGCTGTGTGACTGCTAGAGGAGAAGATAACCTCATATTATCCCTACTTTAGTTCGAAACTGCAACCTTTGTTTTTGACCTTCCTGCACCACTAAGCGTTACGCACGATTATGCATGCAGTACCATGACTCTTAGGCGTATATACCATGACCATAATATAAATCTTTATATGATATCATGCAAAGTCAATACTAAATTTCATTAAATTCTGGACAGCATTTCTGTCAATAATCGACCAAATGTAAAAATTCTGTTAATTTTGAATGTCAATGTATTAATGCCTATCGTGTAAGTTTAGTTAAATCTAAGTTCAAAATCACGAAACTTTTCAAGTATCAGTTTTACAGAATTGACGAGAGTTGGGAGTGGTCTATGCACGGCATAATAATGTGAACAAACCTTTGCTTCTTGCACGGAAATAAAATTTTATCCTTATTAGTATAAAATATTAGAATATATATAGACTAGATAATTATTAAACATTAGAATATCTGTCTATATTAGAATATCCGTAGCTAAAGCGATAAAAATCTAGCAGAATATCTCATGGAACATCTTTTACTAAAAATATAGGAAGTTAAAATTTTTATATAGCTGTTCTAAACAGAAAGTGCTTATTAACAAGTTTTCATATCATAGTAACGTTTCCCATCCAAAGGAAAAAGCACTATTATGTCATGGATTTTAACGTAATGTCCGGAATTAACCCTGATAAGAAGTTTCAGAATTATATGACTGAAGTCACTTTCAAACGGACTCAAAATTTCAGCTCGAAGTTTTGATCATTCCATTTACGGCCAGTTGCAGTTATGAAATGGATGCTCATAATTCGAGTTTAAGGATCATATGAAAAGTCAGTTTCGTTTAGAATCAAAATTTTGAATTTTAGCCCTGCTGCAAATGAGAGGAATGGGAAACCCTTTCTTCTACATTATTTTTAAACTTTAAATTAACGCCATAAGCTTGACTTCTAAAATTAATATCCAAATCTGTGTACTCGTGAATGACTTTGAAAATGTATAGTTAGTTAACAGATTTGTGATATCTTTGAGGAGTCATCACAAACTATGGTAGAAGGATGACATACATATTTATTCGACTGATTCGGCTACAGAAAACACTTTTCTCAGTGACAGCTGTTCGTGCGACATCTGCCAAATAAATAAATAAATAAATAATTTTCGTACATATTTTACTAAATTGTCTCATTTATTCAAAATTTTGTCGAGCTTATTTGACTAATTTTTTAAACTGTAAATCATGGATATAAAACCATATTTAAAATTTGTTTCAGAAACGCCTTGCATAATAAGCAATATTAATCAATATTGTTAATTACTCCACAGTTGTATTTCATGTAATTTTATCATCACTAGCTTACTGCGCTATCTCAGATGCTCACCAGGTTTCGATGTGTATCTTAATTTGAGCATCTTTAGTTCGGATATATAACTGTCACTACTGCGACACGTATTAATTTAAGACTTAAAAGGATACTGATCATCAGTAGCCATATCTTAAATTGGCCGTAAGACGGCACTTGTTTGTTTTCTAGATTCCATTTTCTATAGTTGAAACCGTTAAAGGCAAGAAGCGTTTATTGTTTTCACAGTGCTTCCGTCTCAGCCTACACAATCTTATAGCTTATTGTGGAAACTGGAATTTTCAATATATCATGTCTCTAAGTATGGAAAGTTTTCTTCTTTAATCTCGGTTTTAATTCAGGGATGGTTATAGGACTAATGCGGCATACTTTACTTTTAAGGTGTCCCTCTAGAAACAAATGGCAAAAACAGATATCAGAAAATCTCGGAGGGCTTGGAATGTCAGTTTTACGTGAAATGACGCGCATTCCAAACCACTAATGAATGGCTTCCATCGATTGTAAAATGTTATGAGACATGACTCCGTCCTAGTTAAAGCACATTATTTCAATATTAAGAAAGCAAGAGTGGCGCAATTGTCGCTCGAATAAACTTTCAAGCGAAGTATACCGAACTCATGTTACTATCGTTCAAGTACTGTACTCATTTTGAAACAAATAAGGGCCTATGACACAGCACACCATACTGCAACCTTGATTTTATTTAATGGATGATTTTCTCAGCTGAGACAGATTTTTCTTTTGTCCAGTAACGGAAGTTATATTTGTTGATGTTGACGTTGAAGAGGAAATGAGCTTCATCGGATATGCACACTTGTTAAGAAAATCGACTTCCTGGTTAACCTTAGCCAATACTCGTTCGCAAAAACCCATTGCGAAGCACAGGATTTCGAGGATTTAATTTCTGCACAATCTGTAACTTACAAAGTAAACTTTAATACATGCAGTATTGTTTTTACGTATCTTCGCTCCAACTGTAGCCCCGATCCATAAAGTCGAACGGACGAACGAGGGCTTCTTTGAAGGCGACTCGAGCAGCTTACATTTTTTATCGTTACGCACCCCAGAGATTTCGTTTTCAAGGGTGAACTCATTTCTTCAAAATTACACACTCATCTTGCAAGCGTATGAACCGATGTGTCATGACCACGACGTTAAGTTGGTAATGATGCTGAAATAATCTTTGTACAGCAGCCACACTATCATTCTGCTTCTAAAACGTTTTCACAGCGAACAAACGTTCCTTTCCACTGCTCTATTACTACTAGATGTCACAGAATGCTCAATGATGTCACTTGGGTCTCACCTTTTAGTGTTGCAGCGTTGCTATTATTACATTCAAAATAGCTCCTTTCTCTGCTCTATACTGTATATATGTGTTTGCAAATTTGTGAGCGTAGAGATTTCCCTCGATGGTATCCTCCAAAACGTGGCGAACGAAAATGCGGTAAAAACAGCGCAAGGAGAAATCATCGTAGGAGAGAAGAAACCAGGGAGAAAACATCACATTTCTAAAACACCCCGATCGTAGAAAGTACAAAAATTCAAATACTTCACAATTAAAAATATTGTCGTAGAAAATATCGTGGTATCGTATATCGTAGCAAGTACAAATTATCGCACAATATGTGTTTTCAGACCTTTAAAATTTTAAATGCATATTCGCACCATGATCTGTAAGGGCATAAAGGAAGGGGAATATTTTTACCTCTATATTTTACATCTTTGAATTTAATAAATTTGTACTGAAAAAGTAACAAAGAAGCTTAATTTAATAATTGAAGATGAGTAGGTGTTAATGTTTTGTTTAATATTTCACAGAATTTTAAACTTAATGTAGTTAACAATTTAAATTCCTTTGTTTAATTAATCTCTTTTACAAAATTCCAGTAGTAATTTCTCATAAGAAGTTCAAAGAAATATAGAAGTAAAAATGTTCCTCATTCTTTCTTGCGCTCACAAATCATTATGCGAATATGTATTTAAAACTTTTAAATTCTGAAAACATATGTATGCGATGTTATCACAGTGTAATGATTTGTAGGTGCTCTATTTTTATTCACGATGTTTTAAGTCTGCGATGTTTTTGAACTATTTTATTTTCTATAACGATGTTTTATACCCCTATGTTTTAGATCTGAGATGTTTTCTCCTTGTTTGCTTTTCTCCCACGGGTTTTGTAGGTGCGTTATTTTCTCAGAGACATTTTCGTTCGCGACGTTTTCACCTGTTTTTTTGAGCATTCCACCTAGCGAGAGATTCAATGGATTGTTTCAGAGAGTCTACTATTTCCAAAACAGGGTTACAATTGTTTTAACTTCAGTTCTATTGCAGTTTTCGATGAAATTTTGGGTTTTGTTGTATCACCCGTGTATTTTCATTTTTTATAATCATAAAGTCTTCTATTCAAGTGGAAATAATATGTTGATGTTTTCATTTAACTCTGCATAAAGTATCTATGGAGAGCATTTATTAAGCTCTTTAAGTATTTATATTAATATACGTTATTTTTTCAGGTTTTTCCGAAATTACTTATAAATTATACAGATCCTTTAAAAATAATGTTCAAGGTATACTGATAAATAAAATGATTGATTCTAATAAAGAACGTTCTCAGCATATTCCGGATTTGGATTTTATAAACGTGAGTCTAAGTTCACATGACGAAGTAAATGAATATAATGGAATTGTTCCAGGAACTAACACCACGAGAATAGCTAAAAAACCAGGAAATGTGAACACACCAGAGGTAAGTGTCATTTTTATAACAGACATATTTATTTTTGCATGTTAAAAACTAATGGTTCTCAAGTTATTTGAGCAGTCATTGTTTGAGCATTGTTTTAAGACATCCTGTTACAGGATATTTTGAAAACCATAGGAATGATTAAACTTACAGTATTCAAAGCTTTAACATGTTGCACAGACGTCTTCATTAATAAATGTTTTCTTCCTATGTATTTTCATCGAGCTCCTAAGAACATCTGTTTTTTCAGGTAAGCAGAAATTGTAAATGATAAGTTCTTGATTATAAAAATAAGAGTAAATAAGAGGTATTGTCTGCATCATCATCCATTTCAAGCTGTAAAGTTTATCTTAACAAACTGCAGACCATATAGTGATGCAAGCGATAGTAAAATTCATTATAACGCAAAATGTTATTTTGGGTGAACTCCAGATTTCTAAAGAAGGGTGTACATTAAGTTCCCTTTCATCAATATATTAATAATGATATGTTTAGGTATATTTTGACCTTTAAGATTTTGTATCACACATCATCATTTCGGAAAAGAATTTCATATTATTCGCTGTGAAAGTACATAGAACGTAACCTCTTCTAACTCTAATCCAAATTTTTATCAATGTTTAATTTCTTCAATTCTATCCTCCAACGCGGGAAAGATAAATGACTGCAAATAATTGCAATGAAAAAATTTGCAGTTTAGGTAGCAGTTTAAAACATACCGGTGCATTCTATGGACCTCGATTTGTTGAAGACACTGCTAAAGGAACTGTGCAGACTAGAATTATCATCTATCAAACGAAAATCTGACTGCACCGCCAAATGTTGATTTTCAAGAATTAGAGCTTAACCACGATTGTAGTTACTCTAGAGCTATTATTAGTTCAACGTCAGTGCGATATCCAAAACATTTCACTAATTTCTTGCAAAGAAATTTCACAGCGTAATACTTCAACTAATAAATTCGAGGTTTGATGAATAATATTTAGCTAGGGGCGTGTTTCTTGTTTCCTCCAGACCCTAACATATGTGTTGTCCAAATCTAGAATAAAATCTTTATTCATTCTTATAGAACACGTTGGATTGCTGCTTTTCTATCTGAGTTAAACCTTAAGACAACATTTTAATCCTGTTTCAAAGGTCTTAGAGCAAAGAGAGACTTATGATGGTGGACCACAGTGTAATTTCGTTCAAATATTAGATACTGAAGATTGTATTTGGTCAGTAATTAGCTATTTTTATCAAACATTTTGAAGCATTAGAGTGACACGCGATGAGGTTTTGGATGCAGACTACATATTTGAAACGCAAAAAGAAATCATGGAATCTCTCGCACAAAAGAAACTGTCTACTTATTTAATGGCCTTTTCCTCCTGAAGTCTTTCAAAATCACATTCGAGTTAAGATGTGATACGAGACGATGTGTGGGTGAAATGGATGATGATGTCTTCACAAGCTTTTTTTAGTCTACGTTTTGTACATTTAAATGATTTGTCTGCATTCCATTTTCAGGGATGTGGGTATTGACAGTGGCTCGTTAATGGAGCAACTCCATATAAGGATTGATTAAATAATCGATTTGCATTTTGGTTAGGCTGCATGTAACTTACTGCACACATAACTAAAAATACATTCATTATAAATCTACGAGAAGATCTACTAACAGTACAATAACGACTATTGTCAAATAATATTAAATGCATAAGTAAGATAAGTATTGTCTTCAGTATGTGAGGATGTTGCTTGATGCAAAAGTCTTTCTAGTCGACCGTTTCAGAGCGTTCTGGTATTTTGCTCTGTCTGAAACAATGTGCAAACTGAATTAGTCACGTCTTCATAAATGTTTGGTTAGTTTACGTCCTGTGATTCGTTATAGTGGAAGATAATAGCACAGTAGCTATAGGGGTGATCGGTTAGTCAGCCTTCTGACTTTGAGAAGCCTTGATGACAGACGCAGTGCTAATCCTTCAAATCCCGTGACACTAGTCAGGAAGTTATGACTCTTATAATGTCAAATGGTGACATTACTGAATAAGTTATTGCTCCAACAATGTCACAGCATGTCGTGTCACACCTAGTAACAGCTCGGGACCACACACATGAATTTATCTTTGTGTTGTCCGCCATATCTAATTTGTAAATTTTTGTGGAGCAGATAGTTTTTGTGCACATTATTTGATGTCTTGGATAACCTTCGCCATAAATCTAATCTAATAAAATCCATTACTTGAGAATTCGGCATTAAATTTGGAATGCAATGTTAATTTTGAATCTAAGTATAAAATAATTTTTAAAAAGATATTTTAAAAAACAGAAGAAAAATTCCTCCTAATAATGTAAGTCATTGAATAACATTCATGCGATAGTTCATGTATCAGTTCCTCTTATCAGTATTTCTTAACTGCAAAAAACTTCAGCAATCAGTAATAAGCAATCATAAATGAAATTCTTTCATAAGCAGTATTTTTGCAACTTTAGTGTATCATAAAATAGAAGTGGGTCGTGAAGTCTTCCACTGCCCAAGCTAAGATTTATTATTATTATTTTTACCGACAGCACAGTTCTTGACGCAAATACATTTTCGCAATTTTCTGCTGATTATGCAGGGGACAAAAATATATTGTGCCGAGCCGTGCAGCTGGTGTGCAGAATTAAAAACGCATATTAAGGTATTTTTAAATATCCTATAATGCTCTTTATAACTTGCGTTGACTTTTACTTCACAGAAAAACCTATTTGCGTCAAAACCATAAATTTCATATTCGTGTAATCTGGCACTTAGTCCCTGTATTATTCCATCTTCAGGCTGTTTGCCGTATAATTAGAAATAAATTGAAACACTATTTTGAAACAGAAGAAGTTCTTTATTCTCCGATGCAGTCTTAAATATGTGCTGGAAGAAACACATAGTCCACTCTGCTCTTCCACATACATCTTAACTGATCTTAACTGAATCACTTCATCGTATATTCAGAAACTGACACCTACTGGAGTACAGGAATTAGTAGTTAACAACAGTTTTGTTTTAATTGCAAGTTAATTTTATTTTAATGCAGATTGTGATGTATAATGTTGAGGCATTCCTTTCCAAAAATATCAAGCGATAATCTCTACAGAAAAAGTCTATGAGGGAGATAATTCTGTGCAATTTTTAAATTTAATGTTTCTCTTGGATGCTGGATGTTTTTTTAGAGAAGGCAACGGGAAGTTGGTTAATTTATTTATGAGGATAATAAATATTTGTATTAAAAAATATTGCTTATTTCATTGTAATTTTTTTATATGTAATATTTATTTAAATTTGTGTCTTTTGTGTGTGTGATAAAGTTGTTCTGCAGAGTAAAATTCTGTGCAGTTTTTAAATTGAATGTCTGGTGTTAGGCCCTTTAGGCATTTTCCCGGTACATTTAAAAGCTAGAGGAAGGCAGGTCGCGTAGCGGCTAGTTAAGAATAAAGTACCAAGCAATAAATTAAAGTGGCAATACAATTTTTTATGATGCAAAACAAAATTTTCGTAAATTAGTTGAAAGTATATATTTTACTTTTTACTTTAAAAGTTCTACCTTCGAGCTGTTAACAGTTCAATTTTGCCCTTATTTTCATTTAAAAATAAATTTTTTAAGCTTACAGTATGAAAAAATTTAATTTCACTTTACAAGCTTATTACAATAAAGAAATTTTATTCCCATTTTCGATACCAATTTAAAGCTTTCTTGTTTAAATTTGATAAAGCCTGATACTATCCGTAACTCAAAGTTTACGAAAATGGTGTCAAAATCCATATGAATAGGCAATATACTACTATTTTTGTGGATATATGTAATGAAGGGGAAACAGATGTTGATTTTTTTAAACTTTCGTTTTTTCAGAAATAAAAATTCAAGGGAAACATAAAATATCTATGCTGTTTGAATAAGGAAATGACAGTTCAAGCAATGTGCTTTGAATTGTCGTTTCCTTATTAAATGCTTGCATTTGATTCTGCAAGTGAATTAGTGAATTCTAACACAGACCGAGTTAAACTGTTAAAGAATGCAAAATTATCGAATTTTTTATATTAGTGTAAAGATAGTCAAATAATTTTTGCATGGTGAGAGAAATTTCGTTTATGGATATTTATTTTTAATGCTCATATTAAATTCAGTTTTTAAAATATACATATTCATAACGGTGGTACATATTGCAGATTTTATTTGAGGTTTCTATGTGACTAGGAAACATATTTATTCTGCATTGCAGCTAATAACGTATCAATTAATCACAAATTACAATATTATTATCAAATGAATAGTAAATTACCATATTCATGATTATTATCAATTAATGGCATATTTAAACAGTATGTTAATATCAATCAATATGTTATGAAATTGCATTTATTGACGCAGATTTTCGATAAAACACCATCGTTTTCTAGGGCAATATGTCACAGGTTCCTCTTCTTCAAGAGCAAAAATTCTTCTCAAGCAGAGGGACCAAGGTCAGAGTTATTTATTACCTATTAACAAAACCTAAGTGTAAATTTAAGTCTTCGATCGTAGTTATGATTTTACACAATTTTTACACCACTTCAAAGCGATTATCAAATTTAAAATGCGAATAAAAGAATGCTAACATTTATGAAGATCTGAAATGTTTCCCTTAGTTTGTATTAAATTGCATCAACATTTATAAGGTATTTCTCCCACCTTCTTGGCATGCCTTCGTGGTGTGGTGGTCTGCACGCTGGCCGCGTATTTCAGAGGTCCGCGGTACGATTCCCAGCGAAGGCGTTTGCTCATTTTTCATCTCTCCGGATTTTCCAATTAACCTGATATCTCTACACGTTCATCTACGGAACTAACTTGTTTTTCCCCGTTGACTAGTATACGTACGACTGTGACAGCAGACGTATTCATTTTGTGACAACTCCGGTTAATGCCTAGATTAGAGCAGCAGCGTCAATTGGCCATTGTATAGGAATCACTTGATTATGCATTCCATTTATTACTGCATTAATTTATGAACAATTAATCAAAGTTTCAAATCACAAAATTCTTCTGTGCCGCACTCCGTACCGTACGGCACAGAAGCGTAATATTACTAATCTCTCTTTTATGAATGAATACTTCTCAATGGTTTACTCGAGAAATCCCAGCTTTTTCATGCTAAGTCTTAATGCTATGGAAAAAAATAGAGTTGGTGATCATCAAATGTCAAACTAATTAATGAGTCCATTAGTTAGTTTGACATTTGATGTAATGTAATTTACATCATGTAATTTACATCAGAATTGTTAGGTACCACTTGCCTCAAAAAACGCGACCAGATCAAGGTTAAATAATGAAACTTTTCTACCTTTTGCGGAGGATTCTTTGTGAAAACAGGGTTGTAGTTTATGTAACAAGAGTAACGTTCAATTTGTTTTAAATTTATTTATTTCTCTTAGAGTACCTCCCAGCAGGTATAGTGGTTAGTAAACCTAACTACCGTAACAATGCATCCAGGTTCGGATCCCGGAGAAAGCTTGGTTGCAATTATCCGTTCCTTCATAGGAGGCAACGGCGGTCACCTATTAGATGCTTCCATAAGGAAATGGCCACCATTTCTTCCGGCCCTTGTAGTAGAGCAAGGCTAATGGCTATTAAATAGAGCGCCCCTTGGATTTCAAGTAGCCATGATGATAATTAACTTTGCAGAAGCAAAATAGATCAGTTCCAGTTATCAGCACCAGATGACGACAGACTAAACTCACAGTTAACCCTAAATCTCAATTTCAAGATCAGTTCCAGAAACCAGCATCAGATGGCGACAAGTTCGACCGCCAGCTAACCCTAAATCTCGACTTCGGACTCACTTTTCAAGGCTGACGAGAGATGGCATCACCCAAGCGGCTGCAAGTTCATGCATTTTCAAGAAGCTTTAGCTTTCCCATCTTTTTCACTACTTTTCTTCGCCCACCAGTGGCCGAGCGGTAAAGTCGCTGAACAGTGGTAGTTCGGTGCGAGGTTCGAATCCCGCGAACGGGGTTGGCTGCATGGGCGTTTTCGTGGTTTTTCCCATATTTAACGTGTATACGAGCCAGTTCCCTTAGAAAGTCCTCCACGAAGGCATCTCTCCCCTTAGGTAGATAGCCCTCGAACCTTTGCCATAATCACACGCACACACTTCTTCACTTCCACCGTCTTCAGAGGGCGACCAGTTCAGCAATTTTTCTCTTTTTCCTTCTAGCTTCCTCCTGATGATCTCCTGCCACAGGATCCACCTGAGTTCAATACAAAGCCAGGTCCTTCGGAAGTCCCTCCTGTTTTTTTTACTGGGAAGTACTGCCACAGTGTAGTACAACCCAGTATATCTCTTTTTAGTATCTTAGTATCGCCGCCCAGTCGGTATAGTGGTCAGGGAAGCTGACTGCGATGCCGAAAGGCCTAGGTTCGAATCAAGAAGGCATGGTTGTAACTGTCCGTCCCTTAATAGGAAAGGCGATGGTGGCCCACCTATTATGTGCCTCCATAATAAAGAGACCGCCACATCCGGCCTTGTATAGATTAATGGATTAAATTTAATTTATAATTGTTCACACTCTGACATTGAAAAAAAGTGTCTTAGTATCTTAGAGCGCATGCTCGTTATTAAAAAAAAAGTTTCTTTGAGAGTGAATTTAGATAATCTTTTAGTTAAATTAATCGTTTTAACAGTGGTAATTGCACATGCTTGGAATGAATTAATATTATTTTGAGTTACTAGAATCTTAAATCTTTTGGTTCGAAAACCATTTTATATGAATCAAGTACAGCAAGTTATTAGATACTCGTTTAATTTAAATTGTTAATAATGCAGCAGATAATTTGAAGACGCAGATTCAAAATTATCAGTCTTCCTAATGGTTATTTTATTAAAAATTGGCTTTTTTAATAAATACACACATTACACTACATGTTATATTAGATACACCAATTTAACCGAGAAATAAACGACGTAATGAATTCATAATTCAGTTGCCATTTGAAGATTCTTATTTTATATAAAGTGCAAAAACATTTTTAATATCCTATCACCAAATGTATCTACACATATTTCATGGTTAAATATCAAAAACAAAGTTAAGCAAGTTTTGTGCCTATTTTATCGAAACTTACTTGTCTTTGACATGCGTTTAATCATTTTTAATGTTCAAATATTCGAGTTTTCTTAAAATTAAAAATAAGATTTACTAGCAAGGTTAATTTTGTTAGCAGTTAATACACATCTTTTCATAGTATAGCACTTTTTTAGAGATATGGAGATGCCATAGTTACTAGTTATTGTTTAACATAACCTCTAATGCTTAGTTATCTATGATGCACTAAGTGAGAGAAATTTTAAGTTCTAGTTAACAATATGTTATTTCGACTTAATGTCATAATTCTTCATATGTTTTCTGTTCCATTTCAGGAAAATGTGAACATCACATGGAGAGTATGCAAACGGTATAAAATATCAATATGCAAACCTCTCATACCATTGAAGCTGGCTCTTCTATTTTGGTTTGGAGGTAAGAAATTTTAATGATTTTCCTCTTCATGAGTAAGATATCTATCATTTATAAATATCTAATGCTTAAAAAGTGCTCCTGTATAGCTAAGGCGTTTTGAACAACATTTCTCACGCAGTCAAACTTTCCGATTGGTTATGTATCGTGCTACATTTGATCTTTCGATATCGCTATTAACTATTCAATTTCAATATTTTTATTATTCCAAAATTATACTTGCGCTGAACGCGATTAATTTATTTTAGAAAAATTATAAAAATAATTAAAAAGTATTATTAAAAACTTTGTTAAGCCCGTGATCAAGTTATTGGCTTTTAGGATCAGCTGACACTCATTTTGGGTAAACACAACGGATTAAATTAATAAAAAGAACAATAACGATTAGACATAGAAAACCTATTTATTCCTTTTTTTGACTTACGATTCATGTATTTTTAACATAAAATTTCACTTCTCTCTTAGGTTGGTTAATGTATACGTAAGGAATGCGGTAAGTAAAATAATCAATTTTCCAAGATTTAATTAACGAATTACTTTCCAAATTAGCTAAATACGATCTTTTCCCCTAACTCGAAAAATAACATTTACAAATTTAGCTTTTAAAATTTTATCAAAATTGTATAAACAATTAAAGGAACGTTCAAAATTCATTCTTAATTATTTATATTGCTTGAAATTATCATTAAACAATAGTTAAATTAAATAAAATTTTCACAATTAATAATTAACTGACATTAGAAATACTGAATGACTGAAACGAGCATAAGACTTTCAAACAAGCATTGAAGCTAAGTATATATAATTATAGAATTTCCTGTTCTAAAATTTCTTATTGTTTATTACGTGTAATGTACTTTATTGGTAAACAATTATAACTATCTTTATTGTCTTCTCTTTGCAACTCTAATATCAAACACCCCCTCTTCTGTACTTGAAGGCAACGTGACTCATTAATAAAACGATTAAATCATCGACGGGTTCAACCAACCCTAACGTATGCTTAACGAGGAAATACAGGGCAAGGGGAGAAATTCTTAAATATTTTAGTTTAACAGCTCTGACAACGGTAATTAAAAGAATTTCTGAAACTTTTATTTTTTATGTAATATTTGTTTATTAAAACATCTGCGTTTATAAACACTGTTATAAAATTTTGGAAACAATATTATCACATAATAACAAGACTGCTATTAATTTCACAAGGAATAAAAAAACAGCACAGATACTTGCTATGTAAGCAACTGATTCTAAAGGACTGATTCTAAAGGATTAATTCTGAAGCGACTGATTCTAAAAGATAGTTAAAAAAGCTTACTAATAAAAATTTCTTCGGAATACATATTCAAATTTGTCAACAGTCTTGTGATTACTATTGATGAATTACATAAGCATTGTTCAATGTTGTAAGAGTTAACAGAGAGAAGTTGAAAAATAAATTAAATTAATTACAAATAGCTTATGATGTAATCGATAATTTTATGATGTGATTAGGAAAGATGAATCAAAATATTATTTCTCTGCATTAAAAATGATACTGCTTAAAAACTGGAAGAAGTCATGTTGGAATCTCCTATAAAAGAAACTAAGAAAATTCCATTTTAATACATGAATATCGATATGCACTTGTATTTTATAGTCTGCTGATTAATATATGTGACACATATTTGAATACTATTGATTTTCTTTAATTTTTATGATTTTTATTCAGTATATAGATATATAGATATATATGCATGTACCAATAAAACCTCGATCGAGTTTTCCTTGCTTTAACTGCATAAACTTGTATCAAACTCATAAAAGACTTCGGGGAATTATCGCTGCTTCTGAAGTAACAACATAATTTTGAAAAAATTTAAACAATCGTTTTATTAAAACAGAACTTCGACATAAACGCAAGTTTCATCCTCACAATAATCCGCCACCACATGCAGCGATCCAACTTAAAGTAACAGTCAAATTCTAAATCAAAATGTAGGCTAGTAGGCAAGTAAATTTAAAACGAAATTAGCTCAAAACTTTAACCGGCGTAACAATTTAAATGACGTCACCTATAATGCAAAACTGAACAAAACATTTTTTAAACATTAATTTTGATAAGAAGACAGCAAAGTAGCAATCACTAAAGGTGATTTCATTCTTGCGAAGACCTTGCCGATACGAGGGTTAAATAGGATAATGAGAAAATACGAGTAATTGTGACTATTTTTAGGATGAAGATTTTATTTTTAGCTCAAAGGACGTTAGCCCAGAAGGGCTATTAATTTCGTTTTGGCATTTTACGTTGATTCACTATAAATATCGGTTCACTTTTCAAATTCTTGATTCTTGAATTCTCGATTCTAGAATTCTTCTCTTCAAATTCTTTCAAATTCAAAATTAATATCGACCCATATGTGTTTCATTAGTCCAAAGGGGCTTTGTCCCTGAGAGATTGTTTTCGTTTTGCGATTTTGCATCGAATCATTCCGAATGTCTGTTTCACTTTTCAAATTTTTGCCACCAAATATTATCGCCCTAAGTTGTATTTAAAGAAATTAACTAATAAAAAATCTGCATAAATGTATGTATGTTTCTCGCATGTGATAAAACAACGGTAACTAGAGCCATCAAATTTTGAATAACGTAATCTTTCACCGAATATGGGCATCTGAAAACCCTAATTTGGAATTTGAAGTTTGTTTTATTATCGATTTCATATTTTGTAACACTTCAACGAATTTTTAATTAACAAACTCGACGATTTCAAAGCGAGCAATGGCAAAACTTTACAGAAAAAAAAAAAAAAAAAAAAAAAAAAAAAAACCATTTTTAATCCCAGCGCACGAGAATGTGTATCGGAAATTGGAAATTTTAAAGATATGATCATTTTAAAATTATTTTGTGATATTGCTGTTGAATTGAATTTTACGGTTTAAGTGCAAAGAACATGATATTTAATAAATAAAGGTAACACACAAAAGATTAAAAATAGTCCCTTTGGGCGTAATAGAAAATCTTAAAGCTTTACGTTTTTTTGGGGGTGGGCTGTAAAACAGTACACAAAAAATCATTATCAACAATGCAAGGCGAAAAAACTGATAATACTCAGTAGCTATTTATCAGATATTTAACTGGGTAGAAAAAATGATTCTAAAGAAAAAATTTTGAGAATGAAACATAACAGTAAAAATAAAAAGTTTTTTGTTTTTGTTCAGCACAGTGACAAAATCTGGAGTCGCAAGGGAATTAGACATTTTTTTTTCCTTCTAGAAAAGAGACTAGGCGTCTATCTTTAAAACTAGCATCAATTTGCGGCTGAATTTGCTTTAATTTCATTTTGGAGTCCTTCTTTTCCCTATTTAGCTGTAGCATACTTCAAAATCGTAGAAAGAATTTCGTTACGATAAAAACGGCATTTCCTCGTAATGCGAATATCTGTTTTAGTAACAGATGATTTATATTGGACGCACACCAGAACCCTATATTTCATTGCATCAAAATATATACAGCTTTTCTTTTTGCACTAACATTAAGTTGAAATTTACCTAATTATAAAAGACGCAGTTAATTCATGCCTTTGAAAGTATGTAAAAGATTTTTAAAAAATATGTTCTGTAATATATTTATTTTATTTTATTTTAATAGCTGGATCAGTTATTGGGACGTTTCTTGCTGTCTATTTTAAACAGCTGGGTCTTGCATTAACAGAACTCTCAACCATATATATGATAGCACCTATTGCCCAATTTCTAGGAACAACATTGTCTGGTATAGTAGCGGATAAACTGGGCCGGTCCAAGCCGGTTCTGGTAGGCAATCTCACGATCGCTCTCCTCGTTGTCGCTGGAATGCTCATGCTCCCAAGATTGAATCCCGAAAGCTGTAATCCACAGCCATTGAACCTCAAATGCCATTACCAGGAATTCGATCGTTTAATAGCAAGATCAATCTGCGACATCGAAAACGACATTATTGAAGCAACATCTTGCAGCGTTCATTGTCCCGAAAATGTTACTCAGTACTGTAGTGGACAAAATCTGATTTGCGAAGTTTTGACGAGTAATGAAGAATTTGAAAATTTTTCTTTATCGATTCACTTGAATGGAACTTTCAATAGGAAGCAAAAGTGTTTTTATAATGTTCATGCTTTGACACACAAAAATACAACTTACTCATGGTGCAATGTACCACATAAAATGTACTGCAAAATAACATGTACATATTTTTTAGAAGAAAAATGTAATCGGGAGGGAGGATCCAGAGGAAAATATTTGATTGCTCACATGGTGTTGTTCATCCTCTATCTCACTACAGTCACTACCTGTTACCGTATATTCGATGTTACAGTAATGTCCTTGGTTAAGGAATACAAGTCTGATTACGGCCGTGAGCGATTCTTCTCCATTCTTGGCATTTTAATATTCACCCCTCTTGCTGGCTATATTGTGGACGCGAGCACCGCTGTAGGTAGTGAAAAGAATTATGCAACTGCATTCTATTTCTTCATCGGGATGGGAATTTTAACTTTAGCACTCATTTACAAACTGAAGGTGCGGATTAATCCACCAGGCGAACAAATGTGGAGAAAAACTTTAAATCTACTCAAAAGTGTTGATGTTATATCATTTATGTGCATTCTTTTTGTTCTTGGTAGTACGTGGAACTTTACGAAGAACTTCGCGAACTGGTTCCTTGTAGAGCTTAACACACCAGGCGTCTTATTCGGTTTGATTCCAGCAGTGAGTGGTATGTATGGGCTTCCATTTCTGATGACTTCTGAATGGTGGGTAAAGAAGATAGGTTCCTCCAATATATTCATATTAGCACTTTTAGCATATGTTTGCAACACAATAGGATATTCATTTCTATATAACCCTTGGTACTCTCTCCTGATAGAAATTACGTCAGTGTTTACCTATCACTTGCTGTGGGTTGCTGTAATTCTGCACAGTCATGAAATTGCACCCGAAGGACTAAAGGCGACTGTAATTTCTACAGCTGGAGGTATCCATTTTACTATAGGTAGGTACGTCACTATTTCGAATAATTTAAATAACTTTTTGTTGTATCACTCCTGCTTGAAGTTTTAAGAAAATTTTGTATAACACATTTAAATATATGCAAAGAAATGATGTTTTACTTTTGCTTTGCTATAATTTTGATAAATTATAAGGAGCTTCATTCCATTTAATCATTCATAAATGATTTATCTGCCACAAAACACGAAGAGTTGCTATATGAGAATAGATATCGAATATGTGTTCAATAAATTACTTAAATATAAGTTTGGTTTCTATTCAAGTACTCAGTTAAAAGAATCACAGCTTTATTTGCACTTATGGCGTAGAGTCATTAGGATTTTTTTAAAGCAGAAAAGATAAAAAATAACAATGCCCTCTCCGGACTCGAACCTGGATCTCTCGAATACGCGCTGAGTATGCCAACCGTTATATCCCGAGGGCATGCCGAAAGAGGGGAGGCAATGTACCAAATGTCTATTTCTCTTAGGGCATTTTACCATTAATATAAATATTATAAAAATAATCCAAATTGTCATTATAAGATTTCAGTTGGAGGAATTGGTATTGCAAATTTATTAGTCCAAAGGGGCTTTGTCCCTGAAGGACTATTGTTTTCGTTTTGCGATTTTGCGTCGGAGTCATAAACGTCGGTTCACTTTTCAAACTGTTGCCACAAAATGTTAGAGTCCTGCATTATATTTGAAGAAATTAAATAATGAAAAATCTGCATAAATGATTGTCTATTTCTCGCATTGTGATAAAACAATGGTACATAGAGCCATCGAATTTTGAATGACGAAATCCTACTGCGAATATGGGCATCTGAAATCCCAAATTTGGAATTTGTTTTATTATAGATTTTATATTTTGTAAAACTTTAACGAATTTTTGATTTACAAACTCAATGCTTTAAAAGCGAGAAATGGCAACGTTTATATAGAAAAAAAAATACTTTTACCTCCAGCTCGCGAGACTGTGTATATCGGAAATTCTAAAGATATGCTTAATTTAACATTATTTTGCGATATTGCTCTTGAACTGAATTTTATGGTTTAAGTGCAAAGAACATGATATTTAATAAATAAAGGTAACACTCAAAACGTTAAAAAAAACGCCCCTTTGGACGTAATTTAAAATCTGAAACATTTCAGATTTTTTTTTTTTTTTCTTAAGCATGTAAGGCTTCAAGAAACTAGGTAACTGTTAACTGATTATTCTTCTCAATAACTGAGAAAGTGATCGTGCTAAAGGATAATGAAATTCATGAACGAAATATCGTACCAATAAATACTGTATGTTTTTAGGAAGAGCTTTTTGAAAGGAAGTTTATAAGGTATCTTCGTGGTGTACCTGGAAGCCCGCTCGACGCTTATCCGGAAAGTCCGGGGTTTGAATCGGGCCACCAGCGGCCGAGCGGTAAAGTCGCTGAACACTGGTAGTTCGGTCCGAGGTTCGAATCTCGCGAACGGGCTGGCTGCATGGGCGTTTTCGTGGTTTTCCCCCATGTGTAACGTGTATACGAGCCAGTTTCCTTTCGAAAGTCCTCCACGAAGGCATCCCTCCTCTTAGGCAGATAGCCCTAGTGTGCTTTGCCATAATTAAATACACACCGGGGTTTGAATCCCGGCGAGGGCATTGTGGATTTTTTCAGTTTTCTGACATCGACAAAAAAATGTAAATGATTCCATAAGTGACGTCCGAACTAAAATGTGGTGAACGATAACTCGTCAACACCAGCATTTGGCGACAGGGTCCCCTAAATCCCCAATCGCCGTTTGAAAGGTAGATTATAATAAGGTATTTTCTACCTCCCTTTCGCATGTCTTCGTAGTTAGTTAGTTAGTTTTAAGTACTGGCTCCCAACCCACCTAGCAGGCGAAACCTGCCATATGGCTACGAGGGCACAGGCCAAGCCACAAAGGCATAACCAAAAAAAAAAAAAAAAAAAAAAAAAAAAACGTAAAGTAGATACATACATTCCGAGCACTCCCGGGTGAATTAGTATATATAAAGCGTCGTTTCCATTTCTGACTTTTTTTCTGAAGTTTACAATCTTTATAAATTTTACTTTCAATTAGTTATTATTATTCAAATCTTCTTTATATTATCAAAATTCATCTTAAATTTACAAGTTACGTCAATTATTTCTGTTTTCAGTAAGATTTTCTGCTTTGTTATATCTCGATTCCAATATTCTTCTTATTCTCATTCACCGTTTGCATAATATCTCTTGCAAATTTTCTAAACAATTTATAATTACTAAATAAATCCTCAAACTTCGAAAATTTATATTTTGCTCTCACACTTCCAGTCAAGCAACAGTCCTCGTTCGGTCTCTCGTCGCCCCGCAGCTGAAGAAAATTATTTAAATCTATAATCCTGAAATTTTACTCAAGTTTCACCGATTCCTATTGTTTATTATCCCAGTTGTTCTAACGTGAAACTCTTATATCACTCGTCATATGCAAGTTTTAATGAATACAATATAGTGATCCTTTTATTTATCCATTTCATATTTTCCCATCAAAAAGATATATTATATAATCATCTTATGTGCTTCTCAGAAACAGTCTTCAAGTAAAATTAAGCAAATCTCATCAAATAGTTTACGAGAATTGATGAAAAGGAGCAATTAAAAACATTTACTGAAAAAAATTCCTTTTCTACCAGAAGCGAAGCTGGAGGAAGGTATTTTCATCGCATCAGTCACGAACTTATCATGAATCAAGATTAAAAGAAAGCCTGAAATATGGTATATACCTAAAGCTTTAAGTAATCACTTGAGTCTTTTTCTCTGTAGCCGTAAATGAAGTTATTGTTGCGATTTCTGCACATAGGTAGATGATTTTAGTGCAGTTGTGTGTGAAATTCTTGCATTTTTTCTGAATTATGTAACTTAAAAATCTAACGGTGAAAGCTTGTCGGAAAGAAAGAACACAGCGGCAGGTGTATTTAACATTAAGTAAAAGGCTATCTCGCTGAATGCAAAAGGCAAGATATCACCAAGCTGTCAATGGTTTTGGCGACCAATGTTTCGCTAAATTTGATGAAAAATCGCCAAAGGTCGCCCAACTTGGTAAACATTCAGTGACATTTTGGTTTGGTCCCTATATCATCCACCGTTATAGGTATTGTAATTGAGCAAATGTAATTGATCACTATATTAACTGTAAACGTAATTCAGCCCTCGAGTGCCTTTTAGTAATTTCGAGAAGCAGAAAATACCAGAAATATCTTATCGGCCGAATGAAAACTATATTAGATCGTTAAAACCATCTGCTCTCAGTAGTAGTTGTTGTTGAGAGTTGTTACTTCCGAGCGACTTCGGAGTATTGAAACTTTGCCTTTTAGATTTTAGATGCGCTTTTGCATTGCAATGTGTTTAACGTTCTTAGTAGTTTGAAGCGTACCTAGTGATTGTACTCTGTATTGTACTCTGTAATACTGTGAACATCTGTAAAATTATTCCTGTGGAAAGGTCTAGAATTCTGAATTGTTTCTTTTGATAAAATACATTTGGTCAACTTATCATCGGACCTGTGTGCATTCATTCTATTGCGAACCCGCACGCAGGCAACAATACATTACAGAAATTCAATTTTTTAGCCTGCTGTATATAGCGAAATCAGAAGAAAAATTATGTAATATATATATATATATATATATATATATATATATATATATATATATTATATATTTAATTTTTCAACTAGAATTTTTTAAAATATCTTGCTACGGAAATTTTCGAAGAAGGACAGTGTTTCTACCGAGACATTAAAAAAGGAGAGAGGATGGGATATGATTACAGAATGTAGGATGTTACTCAAGTAAATACAGGCTTGGCATAGAAGAGAAAACAATTAATGCAATTCAATTAACGCTTAAACAGAGGACAGTCTTTGATTAAGAATTATTTTTATGCATACAATTATATTTTAATATTTTCCGTTCTATTTTATAATGCGTTTTCAAATGCAATTCTATAGCAGTAAATACCGCAAAAGAAAGTATTTGACTGAATATTAAAATCAATCACTCTGTTTTACTTGATATTTTGTTATATCAACAAATTATGTGAGTATAAGAATTAGTCCAACAGGAAAATTATAAACTGCAATGAAAGTCTTTATGACGGTAAACCAATAAAACAATTTTTTCGTATTCAAAGTTTCAAAAACCTGTAAATTCAGCATGATTTTTTTAATGTTACCAATTAAAAGTTTGAAGCTCTAGGTAACTAAACACATTTCTACATTATCTCTGTTTCAAAATGCGTTTAGATAAAAATTATGATTCTATTTTTAGACGAATATGCATACAAAATTTGCAAATGTTGGACATCTTAAATAACATTTCTTACATAGAAATCTTGATTTTTCGGCCCTGATTGCTCCTTGAACTAAAAATAATTGATTGATAAAAGTATGTAATTTTTTTCACAGGCAAATGCTCAAGTAGTTTGGTTGCTGGTCTGATAATGGATTCCTTCGGAGGAAGAATAGCATATAGAGTCATAGCCATTGTGTGTTTGATTTTTGCAGCAATATATGGGATTTATCTCTACATACGTCGAACTTGTTTTAGAGAAGAGCATGACATTAGAAGTCAAGGTAAGTTTTATTTCTTGATATAACTTAAATCACGACCATTGTAAAATTGGCTGAGTATTAAATAAATCATTTAAAAAATACTTTTATTAAGCTTATTTAAATTTTATTAAGTCAGAAAATATACAAAATGAATTGTAAATTAATTCCATTTCATTTCAATTGATTAACAAGATCATTTCTTTTGTAATATTGTAATATTTTCTTACCAGATTTTTCCCTACGAATTTTTCCTACATATCGAACAAAACGCAGTTTTAATTGGGCTTTATAGTTATCTAAACAGCCGTTGTATGTTGCAAATTCATTAATTTCAAATTCTATCATTATTTTTGCTAGTCCTTTAGTCACTTAGCAACCTGAACGCTATGGAAGTTTGAAGGCTTGTGGAAAAATCCCCCAAATGATTTATGTATCGCCGTTAGAGGGCGCTTCGCTTCTGAAAAGGAATGTTAGTTTTAGAGTTTGCGACGTAGTTAGTTAGCAGTGAACCTTCGATGCAACGAAAGTTGCTTTGTAAATAAAATGATTATTTTTGTAGATTGTTGAAGTATTTCACTTCATTTAGAATTAGAACCACCTTTCGCATTATGGTGCATCGGTGCCGAGAACCTTTGGCCAATTTAGAAGTTTGTGTTTTTTAATTTTGGATATCATTTTATGCGAAGAAGCCTGTATTTTCTATTTTTATATAATATGGAAGATCTTATTGCTAAACTGAAATCGAAACGAAAGGTATTGAGGACCGGAGTGTCCAAGATATTAAAGAAAATTGAAACCGAACTGAATAAAGATGATAGTAGTATAAATGTAAATGTATTAGAAGAAATTTTAGACCAGTTAAACGAAAAATCAAAATCCTTGAGCAATTTAGACGCTGAAATAGAACGAGAATTAAAAGTCGAAGAAGACGAATTTGAACTTGAAATCTCATCCGCTTTGGAATATGAAGAGAAAATTCAAGTGTGGCAGTTTAGAGGAAAGAAAAAGTTGAAAGAGTTGAATAAGTTGGAAAATTCGGACAATGCAAATAGAGACATTTCTAATGAAACCGTTACAGAATCCCAAAACGAAAGTAACAAATTCACTCGTCTTCCAAAATTAACGATCTCTAAATTTTATGGTGATTCTTCGGATTGGTTAGAATTCATAGGTCAGTTCGAAAATGCGATTGATAAAAATCCGAATTTATCAAAAATAGAAAAATTAATTTACTTAAAAAGCTTTCTTGGTGGCTCAGCCGCCAAAGCTATTTCTGGTTTCGCTCTCATCGAAAATAATTACGAAGCTGCTCTTGAACTGTTACGTTCCAGATTTGGTCAAAAGAACATCTTAATTAATTCGCATTTAGGACAACTCTTAAGTACTTCACCTGTTAGAAATCCTAATGATATAAACGGATTAAGAAAACTTCTAGATCACGCCGAAGTACAGATAAGAAATCTTGAAGCATTAAAAATAGACTCTGATACCTACGGAAATCTCTTAACGCCTTTAATTTTGAAATTACTTCCTAATGAATTCGTTCTTGATTATAGCCGAAAAATTAAAGACGAAAATTGGGATTTAAAAGGTTTGTTAGCCTTTTTGAGGAACGAAGTATTCAGTAGAGAACGCGCGGCTTCTGTTAATTATAATTCTAGAGAAAAATATTCGCGATTGGAAAAGCATTTGCCCTTCAAACATAAACATTCTCCAGCCATAACGAGCAAGCCGTCTACAGTTGAGTTATTAGCGGCGTCATCCGAATCGCAGTGTCTGTTCTGCGGGAACACAAATCATAAATCTGCGGATTGCGAAGTTTTAAGTGTAGAAAAGAAAAAAGAGATCTTAAAATGTGAATCGCGGTGTTTTTTATGTTTGGGTCGGTTTCACCGGATCCAAAATTGTAAACAAAAAATAAACTGTGCCTTCTGCTTTAATAAACACTCGAAAGCCATTTGTTATTCATTCCATCAGAAAAAAGATAATGAAAAGCCTAAAAAGAAAACGTCGGATTCGAGCATTATTTCCGCTGTTTCGTCATATAATTCCGATGAAAATAGATCTAATAAAATATTATTACAAACGGCTTCTGCATTGATCCGAAATAATGATAAATCTGAAAATGTCAGAATTCTTTTTGATAATGGCTCAATGAGATCTTTCATAACTAAAGATGTATCTACTAAAATGGAACTTCCGATTGTTAGAAAAGAATCACTTTCTGTTTATTCCTTTGGTGATAAAAGTGCGTTAGAAAAAACCTTTAATGTTGTTAGAGCAAAACTAGAAAATGTAAACGATCCTAATCTTAATATATATATTGAGCTTCTTGAAACCGAAAATATATCCAATACTGTTATCTCTCCTCCAGATTTTAACTTTGCTAAGAAAAATAAAATTTTACAAAATTTACAATTAGCAGATTGTTGTAGAAAAAGTGACAAAATTGATATTCTCATAGGGGTAGATTTCTACTATTCTATAATTACTGGTAAAATTAAAAGAATTTCAAGAAATGTAGTAGCCACAGAATCTTTATTTGGGTGGTGTTTGCAGGGTAAAGTAAATAATGATCATAGTGAATTATTAACTATGAAAGTAATTGTAAATGAAAACTTGATATCAGATCAGTTTACAACAGTTTTGGAAGCTAGAAAACTTTGGGTTTGGAAAGTGATACTCAAAACGACAAAACTGTTGATTTAGAAATTATGAAATCTTTCGAATCTGATATCAGGTATAAGAATAGCAGATACCAAGTAAAATTACCTTGGAAACCGAATTCAAAACATTTAATGGAAGATAATAGGGATATAGCACTTGAAAGATTTAAGAAATTGAGTAACAAATTTAAAATTGATAACTCTTTGTTTGTTCAATACACAGAGGTTTTAAAGGATTACGAGTTAAAACATATTATTGAACCAGTTCAAGAAGACAATCAAAATGATAAGACCCTATTTTATTTACCTCATAGAGCAGTCATCAGAAATGATAGAGCAACAAGCAAACTAAGAATAGTTTATGATGCTTCAGCCCATAAACCAAAAACACTCTCTCTAAATGACTGTTTATACACTGGTCCGAACCTATATCCTGATATTTTTGATTTATTGATAAAATTTAGACAAAATTCGATAGCCTTTACAGCGGACATTACACAAGCATTCTTACAGATAGAGTTAAATGAAGAAGACAGGGACGTTTACACGATTCTTTTGGAAAGATGATCCTAATGATAACAATGAGAGTTTGAAAACCTTTAGATTTACAAGAGTTTTGTTTGGAGTAAAATCTAGTCCCTTTCTCCTAGCTGCTACTATTAAGCATCACCTTAAAAAATATTCAGAAATATATCCTGAAACAGTAGAACTCTTAAACAACTACCTGTATGTTGATGACATTATTGGTGGTCACCAAAATTTAGAACAAGCCCTGAAAACAAGTTTAGAAATTGTGAACATTTTTAATGAAGCTAGCATGTCACTACATAAGTGGCATACTAATTCCAAAGAACTCAAAGATATTTGGCATCGCAAAGAATTTTCGATGCAAGAATCTCCTGAAGTTGTCCCGATCAAAGTGTTAGGAATTAACTGGGATACGGATAATGATAATTTTTATTTTGACACTCAGCACTTGACAAATTTCATTTCCTCGTCAATCAACTCAAAACGTTTTCTATTGCAAACCGCAGGCCGTATTTTTTGATCCTGTCGGATTTTATGGCCCTTTCACTATAAGAATAAAGTGTCTGATTCAGGAAATCTGGTCTGCCAAAATTGATTGGGACGATGAACTTCCACCTGATCTTAGTTATAAATGGAAAGCCTGGTACGAAGAAATTGAAGAAGCTGAACCACCTCAGAATTCCCCGCTACTATTTAGAAGGAATATTAGATGCAGATGTGAAACAAATAGAACTCCATAGCTTTTCTGATGCTAGTTTGAAAGCTTATGGATGCGTGGTATATCTGAGAATAGTTTTGAACAATGGAACTTTTCAAACAGTTTTTGTTGCTTCCAAGAGTAGAGTTGCACCTCTGAAATCCCTTACACTTCCTAGATTGGAGCTTTTGGGTGCGCTTTTATCCGCTAGATTGAGTGATAAAATAGCAAAATCTTTAAAATACGAAGTAATCCCCTTCCACTGGACTGATTCTCAAATAACGTATTTTTGGATTCAGGGATCTCCCGAAAGATTTAAATCTTTCATCAAAAACAGAGTTTATGAAATTCAGAAACTAACTGAAAGCAATAATTGGCATTATTGCCGTGGGAAAGATAACCCCTCCGACCATCATATCACGAGGAACTACTGTTGCTAATTTAAGAAATTGTTCACTTTGGTGGTTTGGACCAGAATGGTTTGCAAAACAAACGTATAGACTGGCCAGTTCAACCGAAGTTTGACGTGGGAAACGATAAGCAACTAGAACTCCGTAGTAAGATATCTGTTTATGACGTTGTTGTGAAAAGAGATGATCAACTATTGGATATAACAAAATTCAGTAATGTGCTGAAATATCTCAGAATTATGGCATGGGTTAGACGTTTCGTTGCTAAGGCAGGAAAACTGCCTGCTAATAGTGGAACACTAAGTGCTTCTGAAATTCAGGACACTGAAATATTTTGTGTTCGTAAAGCCCAGATGGATTTCTTCACACCTGAAATTAAGGCTCTTCAATCTAACAAGTCAATTTCTCCAAGCTCTGATATATTCAGCTTGGCACCGTTTCTTGATGAAAATAAAATTCTTCGAATTAAGGGAAGATTAGAAGAAACCGAATATACAGTTGACGAGAAGCATCCAGTTCTTCTTCCTAAAGATTCCAAATTTACTGAATTAATTGTAAAAAGGGAACATAATAAGGTTCTGCATGCGGGAGTTGCAGCAACTTTAGCCAAACTAAGACAGAAATTTTGGATTCCTAAAGGCCGTCAGTTGGTAAAGAAAGTTATAGGGAACTGTTTAATTTGTCGGAAATACGCAGTAAAACCAGCGAAACAAATGACAGCTCAGTTACCTAAAGATCGAATTGTTGAAACTCCACCTTTCTATGTTACAGGCGTGGATTTCACAGGTCCAGTTTACATCAGGTCTGGAAACGAAATTCAGAAATCATACATCGTATTGTTACGTGCGCTGTTACACGAGCGTTACATCTAGAACTCATTTCCAACATGTCTGCAAACAAATTCATTTTGGCTCTCAGACGTTTCATTTCGAGAAGAGGAAACTGTCGCACCTTTTATTCAGATAACGCGAAAACTTTCAAATATGCTGCCAAAGATTTACAGTATTTTTACAGCATAATTAAAGGTACAGACTTTCAAAATTTTCTAGCAAATGAAGGCTTGACTTGGAAATTTATCGTCGAGCTTGCTCCATGGTGGGGAGCTTTTTATGAACGCCTTATGAAAACCATAAAGGAACCGTTGAAAAAGATATTAGGCAGAGCTCAACTGAATTTTGAAGAATTTATGACTGTGTTGACAGAGGTCGAAAATATTGTGAATAGACGTCCTTTGACCTACGTTTACAACGATTTACATGAACCTGAACCGCTTGCACCGGCTGATTTTCTATTGATCGGACATAAGGATGAATATCCATACAACTTTGCTGAGATCCTGAATAACTCTCCAACAAGAAAGAGTCTAATAAAACGAAAAGAATATCAGACAACACTTATAAAACAGTTTTGGAAAAAATGGAAAAATCAGTATCTTCTTGAGTTGAGAAATGCTCACTTCTTCGGTACACCAGAAGCCAAGAAAAATCTTAAAATTGGTGATATAGTTTTACTTGAAGGAACAACTAAATCTAAGTTCCTCTGGGATTTAGGTCGAGTAATTCAAGTCTTCAAAGGACGTGATGGTCTTGTACGATCATGTGTGGTAAAAACTAAAAAAGGGGACCTTAAGAGACCTGTACAATTGATATACCCCCTTGAACTATCAGACTGAAAATGAACTAAATTTGTAACCTTTTAATTTTACTTCTTGTATTTCATATTCACTAACATTAATTTTAGATAATTAGTTTAGTTATTACTAATAATTTACTGTTTGTAATTTGAATTAATATTTACGTATTGAGTAACATTTGAATTGATGCAGTTAACTATATTTGTTTATTTTATAGAATTTCCTTTTGCAGTTTATATTTACATCAGTTGAATGTATTTGATATGTAAGTTGCTTTCTTATATTTTTATTATTTGTATGCTGAAATAGTGATAATTTTTGCAAAAATTATCAGGTGGGGAGTGTGGAAAAATCCCCCAAATGATTTATGTATCGCCGTTAGAGGGCGCTTCGCTTCTGAAAAGGAATGTTAGTTTTAGAGTTTGCGACGTAGTTAGTTAGCAGTGAAGATGATGATAAGAGTTAGTTAGCAGTGATATGATAAGACATATTTCTTCGATGCAACGAAAGTTGCTTTGTAAATAAAATGATTATTTTTGTAGATTGTTGAAGTATTTCACTTCATTTAGAATTAGAACCACCTTTCGCAATAAGGCTTATTGTCACTCCTTTGAGCTCGATGAAGTATGAACGTTTTTGATTGCACGCTGTATTTACCGATCGGGCACACTTAAAATCCGTTGATATGAATGAAGTGTTAGTAGGAAAAGAAAGACATAAGACCCTCAGTTTATTTCCTCAAAACGCTGGAAGACAAAATTGGAATGGACCTTAAGAATACAACATTCGTATGCTTTGCTTATAACTAAGAAATCCAAACGAGCAAGCTCTTAGTTACTTATCGAATAGCTATGCTTGATAAAGGAATCGATAGATAGGAATAGATATAATATTGGCCTGTAAAAAATATAATATTATAAGACATATTTCTTCTTATCCATTATTAAAGAATCTCGGAGTTAATAATTAAGTATGACGAACACCAATTTATTTATGAGTTAACATACGAAAAGAAATAATAAAAGTGAAAGAGATGTTTTAGCTACATAGCTCGCGCGAAGCGTTCCAAGTCCTAACAGTCGTTGGCACATGCCCTGTAAGAAAAAGAATGTTTATATTTTGGCGAATCTCGCATCCCGTTACCTAGAGCAGATACTCTGTTTTGAAGAATGACTCTGTTACAGTAGTAAAAAAAGGAAATGAAATATATAAAAAAAATATCTATTGGCTTCGAACAGGCTAGACAGAGAACTGGTCTAAGGGCTAAATGGCATTACAGCGAAGCGGTGATCACGAAACGGCGGCGATGAGTACTCCCATTCATCTGAACAACCATCGCAACGCTCCATTTTTGCGCATACATTCTATTTTAAATTCAGCTTATTTCGGTCCCGTCTACCTGTGTTTAATTATTTTATCAAATTTTTTTGAATCATCCCGTATCATACTTCAAATTTTTTTCTTGATGCAAAGCAGAGAATAATCGAAATTTACACAAAATAAGTTATGCTGGTAATAATTAGCTCTTTATTTAAAGTAACCAAGAATGTATCACAATGTTTCCTACTACAGCCTTCAGTTTCGCCAGTATCTTCAACATCTTTTCACTATTTCGGATTTTTAAGAGCCCTTTAATTTTCAGAGCTTCAGCTGTGAGAAATTCAGTATTTGTATTTAAATTAGCTAAACCGTTACAGACATCGATGTTTTCTATTTGTTTATTATTCCAAATGAAAAAATACGAGAATTCTTTCATTTGTGTCTACTTTTGAAACAGGGGCTTTTATTTTGAAAGTTCTACAATGTATGGCTAAAATTATTATTATGAGTAGGGGAAGGAATGACTTTTGAAAGGACTTTCTAAAAGAAACTTTATCGTATTCACGTTATATACGGAGAAAATCTTGAAATTTTCCATGCAACTAACACGTTCGACATTTAACTCCCTTCGAACTATACCGGTATTTATATAGCAGTCTTACCATTCGGACGCAGTTAGGACTTATTGAAATGAATGTAAACAAAATGTAGATTTGTTTTATGAAACAAAAACATCTCTAATAATAAGTAAGCAATTATTTTATAAATCTGGAATTAGTTATTATTAGATTTGGATATCAATAGTAACAAGATATTTATTAAATTCGTAAACTTTTCGACAGCATACCCCAAAAATCATAATCATTTGGATTAGGGTTGTATTGAACTATTTATACTAATGTTTATGAAAAATACAACACCATAAAAGAATTGTCAGAAATGAATGAAATTTACATATCGAACAAAACGCAGTTTTAATTGGGCTTTATAGTTATCTAAACAGCCGTTGTATGTTGCAAACTCAATTAATTCCAAATTCTATCATTATTTTTGCTAGTCTTTTAGTCACTTAGCAACCTGAACGCTATGGAAGTTTGAAGGCTGATTGTCACTCCTTTGAGCTTGATGAAGTATGAACGTTTTTGATTGCACGCTGTATTTACCGATCGGGCACACTTAAAATCCGTTGATATGAATGAAGTGTTAGTAGGAAAAGAAAGACATAAGACGCTCAGTTTATTTCCTCAAAACGCTGGAAGACAAAATTGAAATGAACCTTAAGAATACACTACTTGTTTATTTGTACCACTATATTACTGATAGTGGTACAAATAAACAATTAAATTTACAAGACAAAAAAAACTGACGTCGAAAATCAGTACTTTGTGTGTTCTCCACGCTGAGCAATGAGAACCTGTAAACGTCTTGGCGATGAATCTTACAGGTTCTGAATATAATCCTGGGAAATGGCATTCCATATGGCTTGGACCTGGCGCCAAAGATCAGTCTTTAGTGTATGCCCCACCAGCTGTACGAGCGAGTCGCTAACCGATGAAATACCAGACAAGCTCAGAGGGCGACAAATCTGGGGAATAAGCAGGCCATGGATGAAGCGAAACCTGTTGCGCCCTAAAGAAGCCTTATGCAGGCTGAGAAACATGTACACCGGCATTATCCTGCTGAAATTCTGCGCCCGGAATACGTCGAAGTACGGGAAGGACTTCTGGCTCCACAACTTCCCTTATGTAGTGATCACTGTTAAGGTTGCCCGCAATCTGCCCACTAAATGTAATCGACAATTATACCCAATAGCTCCCCACTCCATGATGCCAGGCGTACCAGGATACCACGCACTGTGTTTCCATGCCTGTTGAAATCGGAGGCGTCTGTGATTCCGCGATAGAGAAATCCTGCCTAGACTTTATACTGTAGCAGACGGCGTCGAACCGTGGAGCTAGACAACAGAATACCTGTAGCCGCGCTCCAACGTTGTGCTAACGCAAGAGTGTACGATACGTCACAGCCATGCAGATGAGGTTCTGTCGTTCGGTGCCCTTGTGCTATTGCGTGCCCCACTGACCGGATTTCGACTTGTTTGGTTCTCCTCTATTCGTTTCTTCTAAACATACATCTCTGCTGTGACACGACAGTACGTGATGGCGGCGAATGCTCGATATAAATGTCCACCCTCTTGCATACCGAGGAGGCGGCCTCGTTCGAACACTGTTAGTTGTTGGTATGGCACCCTCCGCCGTTGACGAGGCGTACTGACCATTAATTAAACACTCACCGCAGACACAGGACGATAAACAGATCTCAATGCTACTTGACAATCAAAACAAAAAAAACAAAAAAAATACAGTTGCAATGGAGTTCTGCGCATGCTCGCGTCATTGCTGTGTGTGTTTTCTTGAGCTCTGATTTTCAGCTTTATTTTGCGGTAATTAATGTGTGTAAACTATTTATTGTGTATAATTTTATTTGTGTAAGTGCTCTGCTTTATATTTGTGCAATTTATTTCAAGTTGAAAGAAGTATTGTTAATATTATGGCTCTTGCAAGATTTCGGCATAGTTAAGCCTAGCTTGACGATTTGTTTACTTCTTTGAGTAGTGCTACGAAGTAAAGGAATGCCAGGATGGACGAAGAAGACGATGATGCGTTTTATAGTGCGCTTAAATGTTGCTATGATAAACTTGAAACGGCTATTGAGTCAAAGTGTAATATGAACCAGAATATTCGTGAAGAGGCAAGGCATGCAATGTGTGAGTTAAAGTGTTTGATTACTAAGAATTTTGAACGTATTAAGTCGTTGGGTTACCGTGAAGCTTGTAGGGAAAGTCTTAAAGACATTTTCGTAAAACCAACGTATGCTAGTGCTGTGCTGCCATCTCCTGTGGACAATGTGAAACAAAGACCTAGTTATGCTAGTGTGGTGGCGCCATCTGATGTTACAAGGATTAATGAAAAGTCCTTGATTTCTTCGGATTGTTGTTTAATTGTAGACTCTGAAAACTGCTCTTCTGACGATGTTAAGAAAGTTATTAAACTAAAAATTAATCCATTAGAAGCTAAGTTAGGTGTATATACTTTAAAAAATATTGGAAAAGATAAAGTCTTGGTTAAGTGTTTGACAGAAAATGATCGGAATCGACTTCAAGCCGAGATTAATGAAAAGTCTCCGGAATTGAACACGTCCTTGCCAAAAAAGAGGAATCCTGTTTTACTTGTAAAAAATGTGCCAAATGAAATACCTAATGAAGATCTTCTGAAAGTGATTTTTGAACAAAATCCCGAAGTTGTTGAATCTGATGAAAACAGAAGTATATGTAGTGTTCGTTTTACTTTAAAAACCTTCCAGTTCACGAGGCACGTTGTGATTGAAACGCACCCCATGGTTCGTAAACGTATTCTGAATCAAGCCAGGTTGAAAATTAATTGGAGTATATGTGAAACTGACGATTTTATTATCATCAATAGATGTTTTAAGTGTCTTGGGTACAACCATCGTGCTGATGAATGTCGTGAGCGAACAGCCTGTTTTAACTGTTCTGGAGAACACAAGGCAAAGGATTGTTCGAATAGGAATGCTGTAGCTTGTATAAATTGCATCCGCTTCAATCATAAAACAAATAACAGCTATAAAAAAGTGAATGTTAATCACAAACCCTTTTCAGAATGCTGTCCTAGTCATGAATTTATGAGAAAGAACATTCAATCTCGAATTGATTATGGCTAGATTGGCTAGACGCGTTCTAAAGTGTGTGCAGTTAAATCTTCATAAATCCAAATCTGCGACACAACAGCTAATTTTAAATATGGAAGCTGATGATATTGACTGTGCTTTGGTTCAGGAACCTCATTATTACAAGAATTTTCTTCCAGGATATCCTGGCACTTATAGACTTTATTGTGATCCTAATTCTGATAATGTAAAGGCGGCAATCATTATGCGATAACGTGATTTATCAACATTTCTTGATTATAAAAATACGGATTATAATATGGTCACCTTGGATGTTACTGTTGGCTCAACTGTGCTCACTCTTTTTCATACTATTTTGAACCCTCAAGAAACATTGACTTAGATCTTCATAAATTAGTCAAGTCTTTTTGTCCAAAAATCTTAATCGACTGGTTTGGTGTATGGACTCTAATGGCAAATCTGAATTATGGTTTAGTCCCTATTCAGACTCTCGTGGAGATAAACTGAGTGAATTTATTTCTGCCAACAACCTATTTGTTATTAATGAAGATTATGGACCTACGTTTCAGGCAACTCAGGGTTCTAGTTATATTGATGTTACTGTTATTGGTTCAGATCTTCTCCAGGATGTTTCGAGTTGGCGGCTGTCTGAAAAAGAATCCCTTTCTGATCACATGATGATTGAATTTGAATTTTGTCTCTTCTACGTTCTTACGAGACACCTCAAATGTTCCTTTTAAAATCTTCAATACAGGGAAAGCAAATTGGGATCGTTTTCGAAAATTTTGTTCTTCTCGCATCACCCGTTTCATTGATATCTTCTTAACGACTGTACTGACGGTTCTCGCCTAAATACTCTTGTTGAGAATTTTAGTTCTGTTCTTCTCCAGGCATCTCAAATTTCCATACCTGTTAGGAATCATGGTAAGCACAATGTTCCTTGGTGGTCTGCCGAAATTTTTTGTATGAGAAAGAGGCTTAATGCCTCTAGGCGTAGATTTCAGCGTTGTAAAAATCCGCCTCTTAGAGAACTTTATAAAAGTAAATATCTTGAATATAGAAAAGTTTACAATCTAAAGCTTGCCGATGCTAAATCTCAGTCTTGGAAAACATTTCTTTCGACCATTGATGTTCACAATGTATGGAAAAAGATTTACACGTATGGAGTTAAAAGAGATTTCATGAAAAAAATTGAAATAACTGGTATTTGTCTTTCCACTGGAGAGACAACCAACTCTTTAGAAGAGACAATTACTGCTGTGCTTCAGAAATCTTTCCCCTCGGATCTAGAGGAAAATGATGATGATTTGCATAAGGAATACCGTCAAGCTGCGCGTACTGCTTATTCTTCTTTTGTAGATCCTATGTTTTCTTGTGATGAAGTTAATACAGTTATTTCTATGCTGGAACCAAATAAATCACCTGGTCCTGACTCTATTTCGAATGAGATTATTAAACAGTTTCATTTAATGTTTCCTCAATTTCTCCATAAACTTTTTAACGTTTGCCTAAATGTTGGCATTTTCCCACGTGTTTGGAAACATGCTCAAGTAATTCTTATTCCTAAAGGAAATGAGTCTAGGATTCCTCACCTAGATAACCTTAGATGTATAAGCTTACTTCCTGTTTTGGGTAAGTGCTTGGAAAAACTTTTTATTAACAGAATTTGCTGGTATCTCCGTCATGGAGACCTTCTTTCTGGTAATCAGTATGGTTTTTTACACCTCAAAAAAGTTCTGAAGACGCTCTTTTTACGCTTGAATGAAATTGTTCAGAGAGGAAAAAAGAAAAACTTGCACACTATTTTGGTCTTTTTGGATATTAAGGGCGCCTTCGACTATGCGTGGTGGCCTTGTATTCTCAATCTTCTCAAAAAAGTGGAACTTCCAATGAATATTTTTTCACTTGCTGCTGATTTTTTAAATGATCGGGCGGCCAAATTGCAATTGGGCTCGGCTTCTGCAATTCGTCACCTTGAAAGGGGTTGCCCTCAGGGCTCTGTTTCAGGACCTACGTTTTGGAATATTATTATTAATGATCTCCTATTAAAACTGGAAAATCTTGCTTTTTGTTATACTATAGCCTTTGCGGATGATGTTTTGTTTTGCTTCCAGAGTAGGGACCTTTCTGCTACTTTTTTACAGGCACAAGAGACTTTAAATTTCGCCTCCAACTGGTCAAAAGGTTTTTTTAATTAAATTTTAATCCTGATAAAACCAGGGTTATGATTATTGAAAAGCGAAACATCTGTTATGATGCATTTCAGTTATCTCTCGATGGCACCCCTTTGACTGTGGTAAAGCAAATGAAATATCTTGGGGTTTTTCTTGACTGTAAATTTTCTTGGAAACAACACTTAACTTATGTATCAGAGAAATGTGATAAATTACAGCGTGGATTAAGTCGTATTGCACGCAACACATACGGTATTAATTACAACGTTCATTCGCTCATCTATAAACAAGGAATTGCACCCTTCATTATGTATGGCTCTAAAGTCTGGGGTATATCGCTCAAGAAGAAGATAAATTATAGATATTTACGACTTGTTCAAAGGCGCATACTTCTGCGGGTCATATGTGGATATCGTACCGTTAGCTATGAGTCTGTTTATGCAATTTCTGGCTTTCCTCCAATTGACATTGCCATTCTTCATGCTATTGCTTATAAGAAAAATATTTCTGCTTCTACTGTCTCTCAGTGTGATTGTATTTTAACTCTTTGATCTTCCTCATCCTTCAGAAAGAAATGCTGTTAATTTTATCCAGTTTAGCAATAAAATCGTAGATGATTCGCCTGTAACTTGCTATACTGATGGCAGCAAAATTGATGGCAAGGTTGGTCTCGCATTTGTTGTCTTCAAAAATGGTCTTGAATTTGAGCACTTTCAATTTAGAATCAGAGATGAATGTACCGTTTTCATAGCTGAACTTTTGTGCTTAAACTTCGCCGTCAAATGGGTCTCTAAACAAAACAGTGCTGTTTTCGACTATCTCATTTGTACTGATTCCCTTTCATCCTTGGAGCTCTTAAAATGTATTTCTTCTTCTAATAATATCATTATCGAGATTCAAAAAGAACTGAAAAATCTAAAGGATAAAAATATTTCGGTTACATTTTCATTTGTTCGTGGTCATACAGGTGTTGTTGGGAACGAACGAGCCGATTTCCTTGCTAAGACTGCGACTAAACAGGAAATTGACACTTTTGTCAATATCCCTAATTCCTTTTATAAGGTCATGAATGAAAGCATCGTGGAGTCGTGGAATCACGAATTCATTAATTCAAATAAAGGGAGTTTAACTAGGAGATTTTTCCCTTCTATTAAAATGAGATTGTCATGTCATCATTTCTTCACAAATTACAAATTAACCCAGTTTCTTACTGGACATGGGAATTTTAAAAGTTATTTGAACAGATTTAAGTTGAGTCCTGAGTCTGTCTGTGACTGTGGCCTCGGCGGCGAGGAGAATGTTGAACATGTGCTTTCTTCTATGTCCTAAATATGAGAGCGAAAGAAAAGTCTTGAAACTGGGACTGAAAAATTTTAATATTAACTGGCCTCCAGAGTTTTACCAATTTATTTCCGAGAGAAGTGCTTTTTACACTTTTTGTCAATTCATTGTAAAACTTTGTAATCATCCTTAATTTTATTTCAGTTTTCTCTTCTGTTTATTTTGTATTGTGTTTCATACTTACTTCTGTAAGCCCCATGTGATACTATGTGGTACATGGGGAATTTGTTGTGTTTCTTTTAATAATAAAAAATTAAAAAAAAAAATACAGTTGCAATATACATGGAACAAGCGGCCGGTTCTCATTCCACGCATTACAATGCGTAATCGTTTTGCATTCCTAATCATGTGTACGTCTTAACTCACTTTACATTTCCTGCAAGTTTGTTCAATTTGCCTAATTCTTTCATGGTGTTGCAATTTCCAAAGACATTAGTGTAAATTACGGTAAAAGCATGCATTCGGGAAGGATATTATAAAAGAAAGTAGTATGGGAGGAAACTGGAAAATACTCCTGCAGTTAGCATATTTACCAGGATTTAAACCTGGTTCAACTGCCAGTGTTATCCTTTCGGTCTCTTGATTGCAGATAAAAGATTCTACTTCTACATTTTTTAGTGTTCGATTGTGTTTAAATTTCAGATAAGTTTTATCAATGATGTATATGTCTGTTTAAAATGCGTCTTATATTTCTGTATTCAGAGACAACATACAGATCTGATTCCTATATATATTTTCAGTTCATTAACATTCTACTAAGCTTTCAATGAAGTCAAATTTCATTCTAAATACTTTTTTCGTTATTTCAGTTGTCAAGCTTAATTTTTATAAATATCTTTTACAGACATAGCTGAAAATCTTGGATACGAAGAGGAAACGAAAGAAATCTATTCCCTGTAAAATAGGATCTAAATCATGCAAAAATATACGCATTTCGAATTTTTAAAAGAAATATTTATTGCTTAAATATTTTACTATTTTAATAAAGTATGAAATAAGATCTTTTTGTAAAATTTATACAACTGAATTACAAAATTCGATGAAAAATTATTTTTGTGTGTCTTACGGAACCCTATGGGCTAGTTAAACATAGAATATAAAGATCAATCAATAAAAGCCGAGTTAAAGGCTGAAACACCTATGACAAAGCACCAGCTACCAAGGAAGTACACAGAACTGTAAGAAAAATTATGAGTATGCCTATGTGGTATAAATATATTCTGTCAAAAAATCAATAACCAACTGTTCACGCTTTTCAAGTAGTCACTGTATATGAGAACTGAGAAATAGATTCATTGAAAGAGGAACCGAGAGTTATAATTCTGTTTTCGAAGGCGAAAACATTGCCTTTTATCTGTTTATTTCAGTATCTTATGCTTCTTTAATCGTCTCATTTTTCTTCCCCGTAGAAAAAGTATGAGGATCTGTAACCCTCTGCGGAATAAAAATAGTGTTTCCAACGTCGAAAACCACACTACCACCAAGCTGCAATCCTTTGTTCTGCATCGAATTGCCACTAGAAGCACACTTTTAAATGAAATCGTCTGAGATGTCATGCTATGAGCCGAGAGGATCTGATGTCGAGCATCGGCCTTTTGCATAGGCACTAACACAGCGGCAAAGGAATCGACTTAGGAATCGTAGCGTCGTCGATCGGCAAAGGAATCGTAGCGTCGTCTATCGACTAGCATGGCCATTAACCATTTCAAATGAGCAATCTTCAACAGCAATTGATTCTAGTTACTAAAGACAAATGTTATTATTAGACAAGCAGGTTATATGGCCACAACTCCACTCAGTAAATCTATTTTTCGGCTGTTGTGTGTAAAGACTACTTTGAACCTTCAAAACATCTTTCATTGATTCGAGATCTCCCATCGCTAAGCGATACATGCATTTAATTGAAACTTGAACACTTTCACTACTTGTTAATTTTTCATGATGCCACAAGAACATTTTCTACTTTGCTTATGTCGGCAAAGTCTTGCATGCAGTAAAATTGGTTCCCCAACGTTAATTTTGAGATATACTTCCCAACGTGAAGCTAGAAAATCGTACAAAAAATCGCTGCAACAGCATTAGGAATGCAAGAACATCTGGATAAGGCCATACAGGGTGAATATGCTTTCATTTTTCTTCTTGTGCATCGATGTTTCCTAGTAGAACAGGGATGTCAAACAAACTCATAGGTACACTTGAGCCAAACAAACAAGGTTTAACTTTAGGCGGGCCGCAAAAAAAATCAATATTCATAGAAACGTAGATTTATTTCGAATAATACAATAATAAACATATATATATATATATAATATATATAAGAACAAGAAAACTTTAATATTTACGTCCTGATACTTGACATCTCTTCTCTGCTATTATCTTTCCTATTTCGGGAGAAATTTTACGATTTCTAATAGGAGACTTATTACCTTTCATGGCTGAAAATAACTGCTCGCACCGATAAGGGCTACCAAACATGGAAATAATTTCATATGCGAATTTTCGAGTATTTTCAAACCTGGCTGGTAAATATTTGTAAAATTCAGGCACGCCCACTTCAATGAACTTTGCTTTCAAATTTGAGTTGCACTGAATCGCGATCACCTCCATTTGCATATGGCTGGGTACTGAGTCAATACTTATTGAGAAAATCGAACAAACCAAAAAAATTTGTCTTCGAGGGAACTAAAATCATTAAACCTCGTTTCAAATTCAGTTGTTAAATTTGCAATTTTTCTGCGTATTTTTGATACGAACAAGTATCATCAAACTTGATTTGTTCATGTTGCACGTCGGGAAGTGCGTCAAATCTTCATTTTTAAGTTCTTTTTCCCGAAGGAACTAGTTGACATTTGAATGCTTTAATTTATGTCAAACATGTTCATAATGATATGATCTTTTCCTTGTAACGATAAATTTAAATCGGTTAAGTGTTTTGTTATATCAACCAAGAAAGATAAATCTTGTATCCGATATTGGATCGTAAAACAAACTTACGTCTTGATTTTTCGTTTTTAAAAACTGGACATATTTCTTCTTTCAAATCCTGGAATTGTTGTGAGAATCTTGGAGCAAGATAACCAACGTACCTCGGTATAGTAGGACAAACCCGAACATTCACTATCTAACTCACTTAAGAAAGCAGTGAATTGAAAAAAGAAAGCACTGATTTAAACCTCGAGATCTTATAAAATTTATAACTTTTTTATATATGACAAAACATTCTCCATATTTATTACTTTCGCGCATAGAACTTCTTGATGTATAATGCAATGCATATGATGAATGTTTGAACCGTGAATTTCACTAAGTTTTTTTCTTAGTAATGCTACGAAGCCCTTATTTTTCCCGGTCATTGATGGAGCGCCATCTGTAGCTACAGAATTTAATTTTGCCAAAAGTAGATTGTATTTCTGCAGAATTCCAAAAACACAAGTAAATATATCTTCTCCTGTGGTAGTAAAATACGTTCAACACAGTTCAATATACTTATTCAGTTTAAGTATATTGAACTGTGTTGAACGTATTTTTAGGAGCTCCTAAAGCGAGGAAATTGAATTGCGTAAATATGTGTCTGAGGTGAAAAAATTTTTATATCATTTTAAAGCCCTAAAAAAGATACATAAGAGGATATAATCTTTAGGAATGTATCGCCTAGGACTGAAAAGATATTGTCATTCAAAGTTATCAAGTTCGTAAGTTATTAAAATTTAATAATACTCAATGTTAAACTAATATTACAACGACTGCAGCCAAATCATTTAAATAGCTTATTTCTCTGTGAAACTCAACATATTGTATCAAGAATTACAGTACCAGATAGAGCAAATTTTTCTCTTTCAGAATATATAATTTTTATATAAATTTATGTGATATTTTTTCTAAATATATTGACTAAAATATTGAATTTTCACTAATATTTATTTTTAAAATTCATAGAAAACCATTGTTGACATATCAGTTTTAATATAGGTCATGCAATAATTCCTTTATAAGATTTGTATTACATATATTGAGAAACTTTTTATTAAAATATTTCACGTTATCTTTCTTATAATAACGTAACATAACAAGGATATAGACAAATCAACTTTTCTCATGTAATTTAATGTAACATAAACATTAAAGATAAATATTAATTTAATATCTTTAATCCTTATGTATTTTTTACAACAACTGAAACTTTCGGTATTTAATATCAACTGTTTATTTAACATGTATTAATATAAAGTAGATACATAAATAGTCTTATTAAAGAAATAAAAAATAATAATAATAATAAAAATATTTCTCAACTGAACTCATAAAGTATTTAAAATTTAAAGATAAATAAGATTTACATTTATTTACTTCTTCTCAACCCTTATATAATGCAAAAATCTAGATCTTCAAGTTTAAACATCACTTGATACCTATCATTCAACTGATCCAACGGCTGTTCTTCAACGCGTTTTTAAACTTTCAAAGGATTTGCAATTACTGATGCTAATTCACAAAGCACAATTAATAATACTGATAATATGGATAAAAAAATTCAAAACGCTTATGAGGAATGCATTTCATTACTACAAACTCGAAGTATCTGGCAAAAGAGGTCTCTTCTAAGAATTTATATCTAAAAATCAAATCTTTGATTGATTTTATAAAAGATTTAAAAAACTTGATGCAAAAAACACGCAGTCATCTTCACTCTCATGTGAAGATAATGAAATAAAAAAGTTCTAATGATATTAGTCATCATATCAATTTCTAAGAGATATATGGATTCAGCAACTTCACCTATTAGCTGTCATACAAGAAAGAAAATTCTATAAATGACGCAGCTCTCTCACCAATCAGTTCTAAACTATGAATACGAAACCAATTTACAAAATATATCTTCACACAAGCAAAGGATTTCAACATCAAATCAAAGTCCTTCTCTGCAACAAAATTATATCCAGGATGCAAAAAATAATCCATCCATAGGTTACAACGGCATGCAGATTTTACCACCAAATGAAGAAAGTTTTATTTATCATCAAAATATCAATAACGCATTTATATATCGCCTATATCTCATGACCAAATACAAAAAGGAAAGATCCAGATCGTATGCCGAAGAAGTAACCAAAATTAATAAAGATCCAACTAAAAGACAGACTCCAACACTTCTTATTATCCCAAAGGCACAAATGACGAATCGTGAATTGCAAGATAATTTAGAAAATACAACTCCAGTTTCCAAATTGGTGTAAAAATTCAAAAGATTTCACTTATCCGAAAAGGTGGTATTGCGGTTTCATGCAATACCAAAGAAGAAATACTCAAGATTAATTCCATATTGGAAAGCAATAAAAAATATCAATAATTTAGTTTCTTTCAAAATACCTTCCAAAAGAAAACATAAATACACAATAAACAATATACCTAACAATACTGGTCCAGAAGATGTCACTGAAATAATTAAACAAGCAACTAATTTGGATGAAAATGAATTCATACCCTCTTTTAAAATTAATGACAAAAGAAACAATGGAATAAAATGGGTAATTGAATGCTCTCCTCTAGCTTTCAAAATACTAATGAAACAAAATATTATTAACTACGGCTGGAGAAGTCACAAAATCGCAGAAGTTTTTGGATTACGTCGATGTTTCATATGTCAAGACTTTTCACACTCAGTCAGAAATTGCAAACATAGAAACTATTGTGCATTCTGTGGCGGCAATCACAATATCAAAGAATGCCAAGCAGAAAGTCCCTTATGTATAAACTGCAAATTACATAATGATGCCAATAATACGGACCTTAATACATATCACCCTGCTTATGCACCAAACTGCCCAATATGTCAAAAAGAAGTGACCAAAGTAATTACAAGAACCGAATATGACATCTTGGATTAATTTTATCCTTACCATTAACAAGTTAATACCAATTCTTCACTTTAATTCACCAAAACAATATAATTAATATATCACCAATACTAATTAAAAATAAAGAATTTGACTCTCAAAATACAACAAATTAACCT